CCAGTCTCTGTCTTTTGATTGGGGCATTTAGCTCATTTTCATTTAAGGTTAATATTATTATGTGTGAATTTGATCCTGCCATTTGATGCTAGCTGATTGTTTTGCCCATTTGTTGATGCAGTTTCTTCATGGTTGATGGTCTTTACAGTTTGGTATGTTTTTGTGGTGGCTGGTACTGGTTGTTCTTTCCATGTTTAGGGCATCCTTCAGGAGCTCTTGTAGGGTGGACCTGGTGGTGATGAAATCTCTCAGCAGTTGCTTGTCTGTAAAGGATTTTATTTCTCCTTCAATTATGAAGCTTAGTTTGGCTGGATATGAAATTCTGGTTTGAAAATTCTTTTCTTTTAGGATGTTGAATATTGGCCCCCACTCTCTTCTGGCTTGTCGGGTTTCTGCTGAGTGATCCGCTGTGAGTCTGATGGGCTTCCCTTTGTGGGTAACCGGACCTTTCTCTCTAGCTGCCCTTAGCATTTTTTCCTTCATTTCAACCATGATGAATCTGATGATTATGTGCCTTGGGGTTGCTCTTCTTGAAGAATACCTTTGTGGTGTTCTCTGTATTTCCTGTATTTCAATGTTGGCCTGCTTTGCTAGGCTGTGAAAGTTCTCCTGAAGACTGTTTTCCAGGTTGGTTTCATTCTCCCTATCACTTTCAGTTTTTTAATAGTTCTGTGAAGGATATCTTTGGTAGTCTGACAGGAATACTATTGAATATCTAAATATATTAAAATGTTTATTGACTATCTAAATATATTAAAATATACTGCTTTGGGCAGTATGGACATTTTAATGATACTGATTCTTGCTATCCATGAGCATGGGATATTTTTCCATTTGTTTATGTCAGCTCTGCTTTCTTTGAGCAGTGTTTTATAATTCTCATTGTAGAGATTTTTTTTTACCTCCCTGGTTAATTGTTTTCCTAGGCATTCTTTTCTTTTTGTGGTAATTGTAAATGAGATTGCATTCCTGATATGGCTCTCAGCTTGGCTGCTGTTGGTGTATTGGAATATTTGTGAATTTTGTATGCTATTTTTGTATTCTGAAACTTTACCAAAGTTGTTTATCATCTGAAGGAGCTTTTGGGCTGAGACTATGGGGTTTTCTAGACATAGAATCATGTCATCTGCAAAGAGTGATAGTTTGACTTCCTCTGTAACTATTTGGATGTACTTTATTTTTTTCTCTTGCCTGGTTACTCTGGCCAGAATTCTTAATACTAGGTTGAATAAGAGTAGTGAGAGAGGGCATCCTTGTCTCGTTCCTGTTTTCAAGATGAATGCTTCCAGCTTTTGCCCATTCTGCATGAGGTTAGTTGTGAGAGTACCTCATTGCTAATTATAAATAGACAACAAAGGACCATCAGACTTCTGGGCAGAGCCTCAAACATGAAAGCCAGAAAGTGAAACAAAGAAAAGTCTCAAAAGGAAACAGAAGCAATGCAGCAAACTGAAGAAAACTTCAAAAACATACTAGAATTGATATCCTCAAAGAAATATAAACTGTATTAATGGGACAAGAAAAGGGACAATTAAAAAAGGCCTTTTGGAGAATAAGAAGGAATTTTTGGTAGTTAGAATATGATAGCCAAAGTTAAAACTTTAATAGGATGGAAGATAATGAAAGAACAGAAAGTTAAAAGTGGTAAAATGATAGAAAAAGGATAAGAAAGTTAGAAGATTTCTTGAAGAAATTCTTCATTTAAAATAATAGAAAGATATTCCAGACAGAAACGGAAAATGGACAGAAAAGCATTATTCTCCCCATGGGAAAAATTCTGAAAACTAAAGAAATCAGTTTCCAAGGCAAGTACTCACCAAGGACCCAGCACAGAGAATGACAAAAAATTAACATGATGATACATTGTGGTCAGATTGAAGAATCCCAAGTGAAAAGTGAAAAAATTTCTTTCAGAAAAAGTTTCTGAAATAGAGGGAAGGTTGGGGGAGCCACCATAATATCACACAAAGAAATATAAATGAGAATGTCATTGATTTCTCATCAGCATCACTGGAAGTTAGGAAACAATGGAATGTTGTCCTAATTTTCTGCTGAATATTTTTCAAATCTGTGATTTTCTATTCAGCCAAACTGTCCAGTCTGAGATAAAATAATAACATGTTCAGACATCCAGAGTCTCAAGTTTACTTCCTATGCACAGGAAATTTCTGGACGATTTGCTCCAAGGAGTAAACCAAGAAGGAAGAAAACTTCAGAACCAAGGTATAGGAAAATTGACATGAAAGAGAGATGAGGACAGTTCCTGAAGTGATGGAGAAGGGAAGTCTCATGATGACAGCTGTGTAGTCAAGCCTGAGCATAAACCAGACTAGAGCAGGGGGATGGAGAACTTCCGGAAGGCTACCTCCTGGAAAAGAGATGATTTGGAAAGATTATCTACTATGTCTGAAGGTGTTGGGAGAAGAATTACCTCTCTGTCCAAGACGGAAGAAGAGCAAATATAGTACCCAGAAAAGAATGAAAGGAGAAAAGGAGACAGTTTTTAATTCCAGAGACAACAAAGTTATATAAGAAAGAAATGTAATCATAGCATTATATGTGGCTCACAGTGACCAACAATGTAAATGCTAAATATAATTTAATAAAAAGTGCTGATTTAACTATATTGGGAGGATTAAGAGAAGAGTATGTAGGTATGTAGGATGGTAAATTCTTATTAGCTACCTACCCCAACATTTATTTTGCCTTCTAAGTAACAGAACTATGAATATATCTGGGGGATAATCTTTAAACGATGACACCTTCTAGCTGCATATGCAGCTAAATATGGCCATGTATCTAAGTTTAGTAGAAGTATTCAGTGGTACTTTAAGGAGATTGACTTAAAAGGGATGGAGTAGGCCATTATTATTTTGCTGCTGACCTGGAATGGGAATGTAATGGTTGAAGCTTTCACCACCATATGGACTATGAGAATAAAGTACGGATACCAAAGATGGTAGACCAAAGGTGTAGGAAGGATATGAGGCTCTGATAACATATGATACTAGCACTGGACTGGTTACCAATGCATTTGTTTTATGTGAGATTATATGTATATTTATGCCATCATATTCAGGTCTCAGTTATGTTGCAGAACTAGATCTTAACTGATATATATCACTAAGTAACATATAAAATTAAATATTAGGAAATAGTGTAAATATGTTATTTAGTAATATGGAAATAAGTAGGAGAAATGGGAAAAACATTAAAAGTTGCCTTTGACAGTGAGAATTGGGGTAGAGGCACACGGTTACTGTTTTTTTTTTTAAATAACCCTTTTAGTGTTTGTTATGGTTGGATGTGGTTTGTCTTCACTAAAACTCATGATGAAATTTGGTCCTCAGTAAAGCAGTGTTGGGAGATAGGGCCTAGTCAGAGGTGTTTTGGTTGTAGGGGCAGATTCCTCATGAATAGATTAATCTCCTCCATTGTGAGTGAATGGAATTTTTGCTCTGGCAAGAATGGATTAGTTCCCAACATAGCTGGTTGTTAAAACACAAGGAGAGGTACATGGCCACCTGCTTTCAACCCATTATCCTTATATTTTGGCCTGCTAATCGAGAGTACCCTCCAAATCACTTGACTTTTCTTTTCTCAGAGTTTTAGGTCTCCGGAGATGTCCCCAGATGCCCCACATTAAAGATGCATCCTTTCTTTTCTTTGCTTCCCACCCCCCCAGAAACTATGAAGTGTTTACCAGAGAACTAATTCACATTGTCATGGCTGGAAATATTCTCTGATGCCCAACTCCCCTAATCTATAGATTGAGTTGGTTTAAGGTCTACTTTGTCTTATAAGCATTGTTGTTCCGACTGTTAGTGACTCTGTTCTTGATTCAGGTGAACAGCAACCATGCTGCCATAAAAACCAACTAAGTGGGAGCTTATTCTTCTGCTGCATTGTGCAGTGACTGGTCTCTCACCCAAGACTTTCATGCAAGAAGCAGCACCTTCCTTTTTATCAGGAAATTTCTAGTGCTTCCTGTTATTCACAGCTGAATGTAATGCCTCAGTTCATTTTCAATTGTTTGATTATATGTGATAAAAAAAAATGTGTTTTCTTGGTAACCAATATTTCTGTACATTTATCTTAGAAATAGATTAATAACTTTATAGCAACTACACACTAACAAATCTAATTGTCTTTTTAATTAATTAAGCTATATTAGAATATCCCATTGTCATGATATATTAGATCTAGTTTATAATGTTACGATGTTACTTTTGGGACATTGGATAGCGTTACCAAGAAGATAAAATGTCAGGCATCTTTTTCCTCATGTAAATTTTACTTTGCATGCATATATACTTAACAGTTTTAATTTTGATCCTCATTTTTCATTCATTCATTATACCAAAAGTTAACTCATGTTCTTCTGAATGACTTCTTACCAAAAGCCCCACACAAAAAAAGAGTTGGCTTCCTTGATTTTCTCTGTTGCTTCCTCTCTCACCATGTGATCCCTTTGCACATGCCCCCTTCCACTTTCTGCCATAAGTGGAAGCAGCATGAGGCTCTCACTGGATGCAGCATCCAGTCTTGAATTTTCCAGCCACCAGAATCATGAGCAAAATAAACTTTCCTTTCCTTATAAATTGCCCAGCCTCAGATATTCTTTTATAACAACACAAAATGGACTAAGGCAGTAATATTTGACATTTTAAATTTGAACATGTATTACTTTAAATGAATTATATTGTGATCAATATTTATGTATATATATTCATTGTAAACAGTTGAACAATACAAAAAGAATCTAGTTCTGCCTCTCTTCAGTATTCTTTACTTTTCCCCCTTGCCCATAAATTCTACTCTTCTTCCAGGATTGGTGTCCAAGATTTGGTCTCTTCATATTTTTTCTGTACATTCTTATAGCATTTATAAGAGGCTTAGTTTCTTCTACTCATTTTCATTAAAAGTAAGTACATTTAAACATTAATTTAAAAATAATACATATGAAGGAATACTTAAGGGATATTTGTTTTTATTTTTAGAATTTATGATATAGGCATGCAGTTAAAAAGTCAACAAAATGAATTTCAGAAAGTAAAGAAGCAACTGAGTCATTTGCAAGATGAATTAAAAATTAAATATAGACAATCAGACATCTTCAGGTAAGATTAAATAACTGAAAATTATAAAGATGAAAAATATATGTTTAATATTAATTTTGTAAATAGCCAAACACATTTTAGTCATATGATTTCTATATCTGGTGTGATTGAGAAAAGTGAAACAGCATTACATTATCTTTTCTCTTGTTTAAACCATTATCACAATGAATAATTTTACTAATTAAATTTAAATTAAGCATATGCCTTGTTCTAATAGTATGCTGTTATTGTTCTTATTTTATGGTGACATTTAGAATGAAAGCACGGTAACTAATTTCCCTCTTCACCAATATTTCTTGGTCTATTTGATCCCCTGAGTGATAGCCCAGTGACAAGAAAAGCAACAGAATAGGAAAACTTCCTATATAATATTAGCATACTCCTTAAATTCAGAAATCTCCAGTGTAAAGCATGTTAATTCTGCTTTTATATAATCTTTGGAGGATTTATAATACCTAAAGATAAAATTCAGTGTTCTAAAGAATCTAGGAAGTTCTTTTTCTTTCCTAAAACGTAAATTGAATATATTGAGAATGTTTATGAGAAAGAATAATTTCTTTTTTTTTTATTTTTTTTGAGAAAAAATAATTTCTTTTTAAATTGAATAACTTTTAGCTCTTAGAAAAGGGAAGCAAATAAATTAATTCAACATGGCAAATGACATAGGTTCAAGATGACCAAAAAAATATGCTGGGTGAGTATTTTGAATGTTAGATTTTTGTTTTTTATCTAATAATTATTAGGAATATTCTCAAAACCATTCTGTAGACTAATAATTTTTAATGCATTATCTGATAACCTATTGGACCATCTACCTTTTATAAATGCCTTGCACATAACTGATGCTCAATACGTAAGTTTTGAATGAATGCATGAATGAAGTCCACTCACAAAACAAGGTAAAAAACAAGATAAAATTTTTTTTTATCATCAGAAATTCCCTTAATCCTTTCCTAGAAATCTGATATTGAACCAACAGGATAATGCTATCCAAGTGATCCCAACTTTTGTATTTTAATCAGAACTATCAGTATTCATTTTTGGCTTCTGTAATAGCTTTGACTCAAGTCTACTGCAAAAGTCCCATCTGTTTTATCCACTAATGCCATCATGGATGGTAAGTTTGACCTTTAAAGGCTGGACTGGGACTAGATCAGATAATTACTGCTGCTTCAGGATATGATACTGATAAAGTTGATCCTCATTATTTTCATTTTTGCATGTTATCTTCAGTATTTTAAAATTTTGAAGAAATGTAGACATACATATGGAAGTGTTATTTTTATTCTATATTCTAATTTTGTCATCATTTTGAGTTATACTTTTAACAGATTATTTTGTTCACATGTTTTTATAGATCTGTGATTTTTGCTCATTTTTAGTTAAAAGATCACAAATTAGTCTGGGATCTGACTAATCTAAAAATAGTACATATTAAAACAATTTTGGAAGTAACTAGTCAACTAGATAGTACAAATTACAGTTTATAATAATGAATAGAAATAATTATTGACTTTATTTATACTCTCACTAGTAGATATAATATATTCCATAGAAAAAAGGCATACTATTAAAAATAAAATCAAACCAAATTTGTAGAGTACAGTGACTTTGGTGCATTACTAGACGTTGATTTTAAGCTAGATTATTGATTATTTTAAAAATATTAGGGCATAAAACTTAGTGATTGCTCTGGATAAAGAAAAGAAGCTTATAATCTTCTTTCTTGAAGAGGTACAGGATTCATGGGCCAAATGTGGGATGAAAAAAAAAAAAAGAGGTAAGGGAAAGAAACATGAGCTTTCTACTCAGATGTGTCATCTTTATTTATGGAGCCCAAAAGGAAGATTCAGTGGATCAGTGAACTATGTTTTGGAGTTTTTATAAATTCTTCTCTCATTTGATTAATTACAATTGGGCAGAATCACTAGCCTCCAGCAAAGTATGCTTTCGTGTTCAGTATTTTCCCTGACATCATTTCCAGCCCGTGTCTTGCAAGGGCTCCACACATTAGTTGGCACATTGGTTGGCTCAGCACATCTGCTACTCAGAATAAAGAGTCTTTTAAAAATGCAAATTAATTGTAGAAGGCCTATAAAATAGACATTAAAAACCTGAATGAAATACATACACTTCATAAAGTTGTGTATAAGTTCAGTATTCCAAATCAGACCATATTTGAAATATTCTAGTAGTATTTACTTTTAGAGGATTCATATTGTGAAACTTTCATAAATTATTTGAAATATAGAGTACTTATCCTTTAAATTTTATTTGTAAAGCTAGACTTTTTCATCTCTCAGATTTTCAATGTCAACTTCAAAAATTTCTCTTGCAGCTCTCTCACTTTCACTTCACTTCTTCAGCCTAATTAAGGATGCTAGTAAATTTTCCCAGCCATATTTTGGCTTTACTTTGTTTTCTATCCTTGATCCCATAGTTTATTACCCCATACCTTTTTAAAAACATCCTCATCGGGATATAATTTGCATATCATGAAATTCACCTATCATAAGGAGACAATTTAGTTATTTTTAATAAACCTGCAGAGTTGTGCCACCAATATTAGCTATTAGATTGGCAACCACATCCAATATTAGAATACTTGACTGATTCCAAAAAAGACTTTCCAGTTCCTCATACCATCTTCAGTCTCTGTCCTGACCTCCAGTTCTAGGCAACTAACCTTTCTCTTTCTATAGATTTACCCTTTTCTGGACATTTCAGATATATAGAATCAAACAATATGTGGTCTTTATATCTGGCTTTTACTAGTTATATTTTTTGAGGTTCATTCATGTTGTGGCATTTATCCATATTTTTGATCCTTTTTCTTGCTGAATAGGATTCCATTGTATGGCTTTATCACATTTTATTTATCCATTTACCAGTTGATGGATATTTGGATTATTTCCACTTGTTGGTAATTATGAATAATGCTACTATAAACATCCATATACCAGTCTTTGTGTTTTTAATTCTTTGGAGTAGATACCCAAGTGTGGAATCACTAGATCATATGATTAATCTATATTTAATTTTTTTAACTGCCAACCTGTTTTCCAAAGTGGCTGTACATTTTACATTCCCATGCCATGAATGAGGCTTCTAGTTTCTCCCTTTTCTTGTCAACATTTACTATTATTGTCTGTCTGTTTTATTGTAGTCATTCTAGTGGATGTAAAATAGCATCTCCTTGTGGCTTTATGTTTCTGAAATTACTAATGATGTTGAGCATCTTTTCATTTGCTTGTTAATCATTTGTATATCTTATTAGTGACACATATTTTGCCCATTTTTAATCGGTTTGTTTTCTTATTATGTGATTGTAAGAGTTATTTCTATATTCTGGGTATAAGTCCTTTATATGCAATGTGGTTTTCAAATATTTTCTCCCAGTGGCTTATCTTTTATTATTATTATTATTATTATTATTATTATTATTGTACTTTAAGTTCTGGGGTACATGTGCAGAACATGCAGGTTTCTTACATAGGTATACACATGCTATGGTGGTTGGCAGCATCCATCAACCCATCATCTACATTAGGTATTTCTTCTAATGCTATCCCCCCCAACCCCCCACCCTGCAACAATCCCCACTGTGTGATGTTTCCCTCCCTGTGTCCATGTGTTCTCCTAACTCCCTCTTATGAGTGAGAACATGCAGTGTTTGGTTTTCTGTTCATGGGTTAGTTTGCTGAGAATGATGGTTTCCAGCTTCATCCATGCCCCTGCAAAGGGCATGAACTCATCCTTTCTTATGGCTGCATAGTATTTCATTGTATATATGTGCCACATTTTCTTTATCCAGTCTATCATTGAGGGGCATTTGTGTTGGTTCCAAGTCTTTGCTATTGTGAATAGTGCTGCAATAAACATATGTGTGCATGTGTCTTTATAACAGAATGATTTATAATTCTCTGGGCACATACCCAGTAATAGGATTGCTGGGTCAAATAGTATTTCTAGTTCTAGATCCCTGAGGAATGGCCACTTTCAGGTACACTGATCAAATGTAGATTTGATGTTTTTGCATAATCTCATATTTCTTGGAGGATTTGTTTATTTCTTTTCACTTTTTAAAATCTTGTCTTCTTGTTTTATTTGATTGAGTTAGTCTTCAATCTCTGATATCCTTTCTTCTGCTTGATTGATTTGGGTATTGAAACTTGTATATGCATCACGACGTTCTTGTGCTGTGTTTTTCAGCCCCATCAGGTCATTTGTGTTCTTCTCTAAACTCGTTATTCTAGTTAGCATTTCATCTAACCATTAATCAAGTTTCTTAGCTTCCTTGCATTGGGTTAGAACATGCTCCTTCAGCTCAGAGAAGTTTGTTATTACCCACCTTCTGAAGCCTGTTTCTGTCAATTCATCAGACTCATTCTCCATCCAGTTTTGTTCCCTTGCTGGTGAGGAGCTGTGATCCCTTAAAGGAGAAGAGGCATTCTGGTTTTTGGAGTTTTCAGTCTTTTAACGCTAATTTCTTCCCATCTTCATGGATTTATCTTCCTTTGGTCTTTGAGGTCAGTGACCTTTGGATGGGGTCTTTGTTGACGTTGAAACTGTTTCTTTTTGTTTCTCAGTTTTCCTTCTAACAGTCAGGCCCCTTTACTACAGGTCTGCTTGGAATTTGCTGGAGGTCCACTGCAGACCCTGCTTGCCTAGGAATCACCATCAGAGACTGCTGAACAGAAAAGATTGCTGCCGGCCAGGCGCAGTGGCTCATGCCTGTAATCCCAGCATTTTGGGAGGCTGACACAGGTGGATCACCTGAGGTTGGGGGTTCAAGACCAGCCTGGCCAACATGGTGAAACCCCATCTCTATTAAAAAAAAAAAAAGATTGCTGCCTATTCCTTTCTCTGGTAGCTTCGTCCCAGAGGGGTACCCGCCAGATGCCAGCCAGAACTCTCCTGTATGAGGTGTCTGTCAGCCCCTACTGGGAGGTGTCTCCCAGGCAGGCTACACAGTGCTAAGAAGCCACTTGAGGAGGAAGTATGTCCCTTATCAGAGCTCAAATGCTGTGTTGAGAAATCCACTGCTCTCTTCAGAGCTGTCAGGCAGGGACATTTAGATCTGCTGAAATTGTACCCACTACTGCCCCTTTTCCTAGGTGTTCTGTCCCAGGAAGGTGGGGGCTTTATTTATAAGTTTCTGACAGGCTGCTGCCTTTTTTCAGAGATGCGCTTCCCAGCAAGGACATCTAGTGAGACAGTGCCTGCAGCTGCTGAGCTTTGTTGGGCTTTGTTCAGTTTGAATTTCCCAGCAGCTTTGCTTATACTGTGGGGTTGAAACTGCCTACTTGAGCCTCTGCAATGGTGGATGCCCCTTTCCCAACCAAGCTCGAACGACCCAGGTCCAGCTCAGACTGTTGTGCTGGCTGTGAGAATTTCAAGTCAGTGGATCTTAGCTTGCTGGTCTCTGTGGGTGTGGGAACTGCCAAACCAGACCACTTGGCTCCCTGGCTTCAGCCCCTTTTCCAGGGGAGTGAATGGTTCTGTCTCGCTGGTGTTCCAGGCACCACTGGGGTATGAAAAACTACTGCAGCTAGCTCAGTTTCTGCCCAAATGGCCGCCCAGTTTTGTGCTGGAAACCCAGGGCCCTGGTGATTGTGTAGGTACTGGAAGGAATCTCCTGGTCTGTGGGTAGTAAAGACCATGGGAATAGTGCAATATCTCGGCCAGCGTGCAGGAAACAGTCTCTAATGGCTTCTCTTGGCTAAGAGAGGGAGTTCCCTAGCACCTTGCACTTCCCAGGTGAGGTGATTCCCCACCCTGCTTCAACTCACCCTCCTTGGGCTGCACCCACTGTCCAACCATTCCCAGTGAGATGAACCAGGTACCTCAGTTGGAAATGTGGAAATCACCTGACTTCTGTGTCCATCTGGCTGGCAGCTGCACACAGAGCTGTTCCTATATAGCCATCTTGCCCGGGCTTACTTTTATATTCTTAACAATGTCTTTTGAAAAGTTGTTATTTTTGAGGAAATACAACTTATCTGTTTTATAGATTGTGCTTTTGCTTATGTATATAAGAACTCTGTCTAAGCCTGTTACAAGGATTTTCTCTTGTATTTCCTTAGAGTTTTATAGTTTTAGCTCTTACTTAGATCTGTGATCTATTTCTGCTAACTTTTGTGTATGATATGAAGTAAGGATCTAAATTCATCCTATTTCACATGGATATTCAATCATTCCAGCACTGTTTGTTAGAGACCGTTTTTTCCCTTATTGAATTACCTTAACATCTTTGCCTAAAATTAATTCACCATAAATGTAAAAGATTATTTTTGGATATTCTGTTCTGTTCTGTTAATCTAGATGTCTTATGTAAGTCCCACTCTCTTAAAAACTATAGTTTTTATTAAATGTTAAAATCAAGAAGTATAAGTCCTCTACCTTTCTTCTTTGTTTTCAAAATCAGTTTTGCTCTTCTGGACCCTCCATAATGAATTTTACGATCAGTTGTGAATTTCTGCAAAGTAGCCTGCTGGGATTTTGATAGGTATAGTATTGAATCTATAGATCAATTTGGGGACAATTTTTCCTTTAAAATTTTTGCATCTTTCAGTTCATGAATGTGTTATATTTTTCCATGGAGATCTTTAGTCCTCTCAAAAATGTTTTGTTTTCTTGAATTTCTTTTATTAAATTTATTTCTAAATGTTCTATTCCTGTTATGTTATTATGAATAGGACTGTTAATTTTATTTTGGAGATTGGTCATTGTTAATTACAGAAATAAAATTGATTTTTGCATATGGATCATGTATCATGTATCCTGTGACTTTGATTAATTTGTTTAATTCGTGTGTGTGTGTGTGTGTGTGTGTGTGTGTGTGTGTGTGTATCTTCTTTAGGATTTTTTACATAGAGGAGTTTACCAACGTTCCAAGTCCTTTTATCCCTACTTATTGAGTTGTATTTACCCTTAAATCCTTTGGGTTTCATACGTACTTCCAGGTTGTTAAACATTAATTCCCTTGTGAGGAATCCTCAATATTCTGCTTAGGCTCCTTGGTACTGTTCATCTCTTAGCAACTGTTTGTCTCCTTTGAGGGATTTTTTTTTTTTTAGTTTCAATCCCTTAAATGTTTGTGTTTTCCAGTGTCCTAGCACTTCTCACTTTTCCATTTCTTCAGTTGAGAAGGGGAACATATTTTATTTACTCGTTTATTCAGTATTTGTTAAGTACATATTATGCAGTAGGCACTGTGCTACATACTAAAGAGACTGTGATGAGCAAGACAGATATAGATATAACCTCTGCCTTATATATCTTAGTCTACTCAGGGATATAAATATTGACACAATAGTCATACTCTCATAGCTTCAGTCATCACTTTTGTGCTGCTAACTCTCAAATCTATATCTGTACTTGATTATTAAGGTAATTAAAACCATAATATCTGAAGTAATAAAAATCATTGAGATAACAAAAAACACGGTTATTAGAGCTGTCGAATGTTATGAAGCAAAAGCACTACATCAGTCACTTCGAATTGTTTTATGTATTATTACTCCAGATTTTTCACTGCCTGTCCAACCATGCTATGTGGGGCAAATGCTGTATAAGACTCTAAGATTCTGATTTAGAATTTAAGACTAAATTGCTCTGGCCTAATTTTCTTCACTAAATGTTTACTGTTGAATATATATATATATATATATATATATATATATATATATATAATTAGAATAAATATGTATGAAGGTAGTTAGCTATAAAGTAATGGCAAAATGGAACTGTGTTAGAGTGACCATACACTTCAGTCTACCTGAGTTATTCCTAGTTTGTATGTTGTCTCAGCATAACATGAATACCAACTTCTTTTGGTTTCAAAATTTGTCTCCGATTAGTAGATTATATGGTCACTCTAAAACTGTTTTTGAAGAAATGTTTATTATGCTTACTGTTTTTTAAAATCTTACTTATTTTTTTACTTTGCAGTCAAAGATTGTCAGAGTACAAATATTTCTGGAATAAGACTCTTTCATTACTTACTTTTACTAAAAGGGAGCTAATCCATATTAAAAATGAAGTGTATGATAATTACCAAAACTGGACTTCACTGAAAGGAGAAATTTTTCTGCAAATTAAATCTATGAGTGAAACAGCCTTGACAGGTTTGTTACATATATTTAGAATATAATTGTCCCTTTTTGGTAAACGATACATCGTAAGTAATGAAATAACAATATTTCATTTTATTTGATGGAAATTAGGAATAATTTCATTATCAGTTGGTAGAGTAGATGACCATTAAGATCTATTTCAGTTCTGAAATTTAATTATTATAGGTTTATATAAGATAAGCCATGATACATCTATCTTGAACTGTGGCCAGAAGTCTGTTTGTTACTGTTAAAGGTACTAATTTGTTTTAAAAACTTCTCTTAATGTCTAAGTAGCTCATATCTCATATTAGGTAAGCCTTCTTATAGATAGCAACTATAAATTCTAGAAAAAATAGCTACTTAAAGACAGTAGTGACCCAAACCAAACACATAATGGAGGGAGTATCAAAAATTAAAAGAAGGCATATAAAGTGAAGGATGCCAATTTCAAAAGGCTACATACTGTATTATTCCAACTACATGACATTTTGGAAAAGACAAAACTATGGAACAGTAAAATGATCAGTGGTTGCCAGGAGTTCCAGGCAGAGGATAGATGGGCAGAGCAAAGAACATTTTTAGGGCAGTGAAACTATTCTTTATAATACTACAATAGTGGAGACATGTCATTATATATTTGCCAAAATTCATAGAATGTACAACACCAAGAATGAACCCTAATGTAAACTATGAGTTTTGGGTAGTAATAAAATGTTGATTCATCAGTTGTAAGAAAGTACTACTCCAGTGCAGGATGCCTATAGTGGGGGACGTTGTGGATGTGTGGAGAAGGGGCGATATGGGAACTGTCCATACTTCTGCTCAATTTTCCTGTGAACCTAAAACTGCTCTAAAAAATAGTCCATTAACTTTTTTTTATGTTGAAAGAAAGGCATGGCAGTGAGTGAATTTTTTCTTTTTAAGGATATTGGACTGAGGGAAGGGTACAGTTTGCTCCATGCAAGAAAGCTAAAAATTTGATCAAAATTTGTAGACTAGAGGATAGAGAACAAGGCAACCTCAGCCTCTGAGAAGTAAGGGGATATCCCAAAAAAGTGAAAGCCAGAGAAAGAGAGCTCAAATTTTGCATATAAACTCTTTACACATCTCAAGCTTATTCCTGAAATGCATATGCTCAAGGAACACGCTAAGTAGTCCATCTAAAACTAAAGTAATTGATATCTTAGCTGTCACCTACCCTATGGGAAACAGATTTAATACGTTAAGTTTAGCCAGCTTAACTCCTTGTGAAGACAAAACAAGAGAAAAATGAATACTCTTTGGAAGAACGTAACAAGGATTCAGAGTCTTTATAACCTAACACCAGAGTCTTTATAACCTAACACCTGCAATGCTCAGTATACAATCCAAAATTACTTATATCCAAAAGAATAGAGACCAGTTAACTCAGACAATATAATTAGCTGACCAGGGTTTCAAATTAGTGATCATAACAGTGCTCAAGGATATAAAGGAAAATATACTAGTAACAAATGAAAGAAAATCTGAGTAAGCAACTATTAAAAAATGAGAAATTCAAGAATAGAAAAATACAGTGTCTGAAATAAAATTTCACTAGATGGACTTTTATAGCATATTTCATTACAGAAAAAAGTCAGTGAATTTTAAGATAAATCAATAAAAATTGTTAGATTTGAAGAAGAGAGATAAGCATTGGGAAAAAAAATTAATGGAGCCCCAGCATCCTCGGGAGGGAATAAAATGCACCGTAAGTGACAAATATGAGTAAATATAAAAGCCCCTTTTCCTTTAAATTAAAAAATCACATGCTTATTTAGAGCAAGAATTATTATATTGTGGAGTTTATGAAGTATGTCAATATAACATGACAACTAGAGCCTAAAGGATGAAGACAGGGATAAGTGGATTCATTTGGTTGCACTATATTTGTATTTTATGTGACATGGTAGAATATTTATTTTATTTAAACCAGTAAGGTGGGGAGTTGGGGAGAGATAGCATGGGGGGAAATGCCAGATGTAGGTGATGGGGATGAAGGCAGCAAATCACACCGCCATGTGTGTACCTGTGCAACAATCTTGCATGTCCTTCACATGTACCCCAAAACCTAAAATGCAATAAAAAAAAGAACGTATAGTACAATTTCTAACCACCAAAAAATTAAATACAAAAACATGTAGCTAAAAAGCTAATCCACAGTTTAAAAGATAACTCTTTAAAAAGTATTCAGACAATCCAAAAGATGGCATTCTAAACATCACGTAAGATCTATTGAGTAATCAAATCAGTATAGTGCTGGCATATGGATCAGCAAAGATGAATGGAACAAGATAGCCTGGTAAATAACCCTAATTATATAGTCCACCGACTTTTGACAAAAGCACCAAAACAATCCAATGGGAAAAAGAGTGTTTCAACAAATTGTGCTGGACCAACTGAATACACATGTAGAAAAATATACCTCAAGTTCTACCTCACACCGTACATGAAAATTAATTTAGGACAAATCATAAACATAAACACAAAGGATAAAATTATAAAACTACTAGAAGAAACATAGCAAAATATGTTCATGATGTGATTGTAAATGAAGATGTCCTGGATAGGACATAGGAGTAAGAACTATAAAAGAATAAAAATTGAAAATTGATGAATTAGAATATCAGAATTAAAACATCTGTTCATCAGAAGCTATCAGTAAGAAAATGAATAGTTAAGTTACAGAGAAAATATTTACAAAATATGTGACCAAGAACTGTTGCCTCAGTTACATAAAGAATGTTGCTCACACCTATAATCCCAGAACTTTGGGAGGCCCAGGTGGGTGGATCACTCGAGGTCAGGAGTTCAAGATCAGCCTGACCAACATGCAGAAACCCCATCGCTACTGAAAATACAAAAAATAAGCCAGGCATGGTCATGCATGCCTGTAATCCCAGCTACTTGGGAGGCTGAGGCAGGAGAATCGCTCGAACCTGGAAGGCAAAGGTTGCGGTGAGCCAAGATCATGCTGCTGCACTCCAGCCTAGGCAACAAGAGTGAAACTCTGCCTCAAAAAAAAAAAAAAAGAAAAAGAAAAAGAAAGAAAGAATGCCTGCAAGTCAATAATAAAAGGATTCATTCAAAAATGACCAAAAGATCTGAACAGACACTACACAGGAAGATACATAAATGGCCAATCAAGACACAAAATGTGCTCAACATTATTGGCCCATCTGATTGGCTAAAATGAACCAGTTTGGTGGTAGCAGATGTTACTGAGGAAGTAGAGCACTGGAATTCTTATGCAAATTGTTGAGAATGTAAAATGCTACAGCCACTTAAAAGATTTCACAGTTTCTCATTAAACTAAATATACATCTATCCAAAGATCCTGAAATTCTACCCTTTGGTATTTACCCAAGAAACATGAAAACATATGTCTACAAAATACTTACATGAGAATATTCAGCAACTTTATTCAGTCTTAATTCAAAATATCCTAAAACTGCAAAAAGCTCAGGAATGCATCAGTAGTAGAATGGGTTCTCTTATAAATAAATAAATAAATAAAATAAAAATAAAAATAAAAAATTGAATATATTCAGTGGAATATATAATGAACTGCAGATAATGTAGTAGTATAGATAATCTTCAAAAAATATCATGCTACTTGAAAATAGCCTTACACAAATAATACATGTTGTATTATTTCATTTATATGAAGTTCTAGAAACAGGCAAAACTAATCTACAGTGGGGAAGAGACAGAACAGTGGTTACCTCAGAGAGTAGGATTGGCTGGAAAAGCACAAAGGTACTTTCTTTGATGATAGTAATTCTTTATGTTTTGATAGGGGTTTGCATTACACAGATGGATACATTTGTCAAACCTTATCTATTGGTGCACTTGAGATTTGTATATTTCTGTAGGTAAATTTTACTCAAAAATAAGAAATATTTGCAAATGTTGAACTCTAATCATCTGTATGATGAAAGAAGTATATCTATTTCTGCAACTTACCTTGATATTCATAAGATGGATTGATGGATGTATAAAGTTTGATAGATATATAGTTATGTGATTAAGCAAATAAAATATTAATTGTAGAATCTAAGTAGTATGTATATTTGTGTCCAGTGCACAATTATTTTAACTTTTCTGTGTTTTAAAACTTTCATAGATAAATGTTGGGGAAAAAAATCATGTTGAACGATGAAACTTCAATTTCACTTATTAACAATTTTGTTATATAATGTGTGCCTTCAGAAATGCATTTTATATGACAATATGCTTTTAAATTTGGAATTTAACTTTAATAGTTAAATTTAGGCAAATGGAGGAATATTATAACAAACATGTAAAAAGTGTATCTGTATTAGGCTGCACGTGATGGCTCATGCCTAGCACTGTGGGAGGCTGAGAAGAGTCAGTAGCTTGAGCTCAAGAGTTCATAGGGCAACATAGCAAAACCCTGTCTCTACTAAAAATACAAAAATTAGCCAGGTGTAGTGGTGCACACCTGTAACTTCAGCTGCTTGGGAGTCTGAGGCGTGAGCATTGAAACCTATATTATTAAATGGAGCAGGCACTGACAGTGTGTTGGTCATATTCTTTGGACCTTTAGTTTACTTCTGACTTCTAACTTCCAGTATCTGCATATCTGTGCCAGAGAAATCTTGCTTCTGGCAATTAATAATATAGATACATTTTACATAATTATATTTCATTTTGTAAATATACTATATCTTATGCATCATTTTCATTATTTGAACATTCATATATGTCTTTTGTGGATATTTTTGTTATTTTTGGTAAATACCTAAGAGTGGAATGAATGGCTGAATTGTATAGTAGGGTATATTCAATGTTTTAAGAAACTACCCAAGAGTTTTCCAAAGTGGTTGTTCCTTTCATATATATATATTTTTTGAGATGGGGTCTCCCTCTGTTGTCCAGGCTGGAGTGCAGTGGTATTATCTCAGCTCACTGCAACCTCCGCCTTCTGGGTTCAAGCAATTCTCCTGCCTCAGCCTCCCAAGTAGCTG